CTATGGTTCAGAGAATAGCAATCGATTTAGACAATGCCTCTGTAGTGGGCTGAATGGTAGCCCCTGCAAAAGATATTTCCACTTCCTAATTCCTGGAACCTGCGAATATTACTGTTTATGGCGAAAGATTTGATTAAATTAAGGATTTTTAGAGGAAACCTTTATCCTGAATTATTTGGGTGAGCCTTAAATCCAATGACAACTTTCCTTCTAAGAGTGTGGCAGGAGGTTGTCTGATAGACACACAGGAAAGAAGGTGATGTGAAGATGGAGGCAGAGAGTAAAGTGATGAGGTCACAAGCTCAGGAATGCCAGGGCAGCCATTAAAAGCTGAAAGAGGCAAGGAGCCATTTCTTCCCTAGAGTCTCTGGAGTGAATTTGGCCTTGCCAGATTCCAGAACTGTGCCAGGATAAATTTCTGTTGTTTTAAGCCACTCTATTTGCGGTAATTAGTTAAAGTAACCTCAGAAAACTAATATGGTCACTAAGACTATAGAAATTCTTGCCCTAGAAGTTTATGAAATTGAACAGGCAGTGGTTCAGAATAGAGGTGCCATAGGATATATAAGACTTGCTTCTTGAGAGATAGTATGGGTTGGTTTTACAAAAGAATCTAGTACTTATGTGCCTACATACCTCACTGAGATTTTTAATACTATTTTTAAAATCTTGGAAGTAAACCAAGAAATCAGAAATTGGGTAATTTGGAGAATGACATCATAGCTGGTTCTACAGACTCTTCATATCAAGAATAGGATCTATTCCCTTGGTTTAATATGGGCACTCTTGGCTCCTGGCTGAGTAGTGGACTACAAACTGATTATAATCCTTTCTTTAGTTTTGTCTGTTTTGCAGTTTTAGATATGTGATCTCCATTGCAGCCACTGTCCCATCAAATGATCCAGCAAATGGTCATACAGCAGAAAGAGCAGCAAAACCTGACACAGAGATTTAAACAACCACCACCGGAAACTTGAAGGTTGAAACAACCACAGACAGAAACCTGACATATGATTGTGACACCTCAAACAACAGCGAAGATCTGGAATGATCACACCCTCAGATATTAATGGTCTCTCCTTCAGCTTAGGCTAAGGAATGACCACAGGAAGGACTGAGAACCAAAACTGTCTAGCCCCATACTCAGCCAGGACTTGGAGAACTGAAACTACACTTTGTTGTCTACATTAATATAACATTGCTATTCAGCTGTCTTCATTAGCCTTTCTTTATTTTGCAGGACTGTCCTACCCAGACAAATGGTTTGATTGCTTATTACAAGGACTTTCCCAGGATACAAGATTAATATACAAAAGTCATTTGCTTTCCTATATACCAGTAATGAACAAGTAGAATTTGAAATTAAAAACATAATACATTATACATTACAATACATTAGCATCCCCCAAAATGAAATAGTTAGGTATAAATCTAACAAAATATGTATAGAATCTATATGAGGAAAACTACAAAACTCTGATGAAAGAAATCAAAGAACTAAACACATGGAGATATATTCCATGATCATGGATAGGAAAGTTCAATATTGTCAAGATGTCAGTTCTGAACTTGATCTATAGATTCAATGAAATCCCAATCAAAATTACAGCAGGTTATTTTGTAAATATCAACAAACTGATTTTAAACTTTACATGGGCTGGGCATAGTGGCTCATGCCTGTAATCCCAACAAGTTGAGATGCTAAGGTGGGAGGCTTGCTTGAGGCCAGGAGTTCGAGACCAGCCTGGGCAGCATAGTAAGATCTATCTCTACAAAAATTAAAAAAAAAAAAAATAGCTAGGCATGGTGGTGTGTACTTGCAGTCCTAGCGACTCTGGAGGCTGAGATAGGAGGATCAGCTGAGGCAGGAGGATTGCTTGAGCCCAAGAGTTCGAGGTTACAGTGAACTATGACCAGTCCACTGCACTCTAGCCTGGGAAGTCTGGGCAGCAGAGCCAGATCCTATTTCTAAAACAACAACAACAAAAAGATCCCACATTGAAATACTCACCTTAAATCACACTTCCAATTCTTAATAAATTCTGTCTTAACCTTTCCTCTTTGACCCTGAAATACTGCCAAAGCTTTGTGGAAGTGGTGTTCTTCCTTGCCAGGATAAGTAATAAACTCAAGCTTTGTTTTATCAGCAGGTTGTTTTGGTGATATTTCAGGAGCTAAATATGTATATACACTTTGAACTCACCAATCACATGAAAAAATTACAAGGGCTAGATCACCAATCATTGGGTAAAGTCCAATATATTTCTATCATATAATAAATGAAATGATAAAGGTTGGGTGACAATTATCAATACCATTGTCTCTCCACAGCCCTCCTGCAGCCCATCAGCTCTCTGGAAGGTAAATTATGCATCTGAAGACTTCAAGGCAAATTAGCCAGGGTTTCCTCCCAGGCCCAGACCTTCCGAAAAGATGGGAAACTACTATACCCACATTTTCAGAGAAACAGAAATTAGGAAAGATCTTGGTGGAGAATGGAAGGGAGGGATGCATTGGGTAAATCCATTCAAGCAAGGTACACCCAAGGGACAAACCAAGCAAATTGAAGTGGGGCAAGAAGGCAGGATAGGCACAATAGTCATTAACTCCTAATGGCTAAGAGGAGGTAAAGATGTACTAGTACATTATTACTATATATTTAAGTAAACATTATACACACAGTACACATACTCTATGTACTGCTGTCAGTATCTATATCATGTTTCTCAACTGAGAAATATATGGAGGGACCTCTTTTAAAGAAACATCCTCTCAGACCCAAGCATTTATGTAAATTATTTTATATTAATGTTTCTTAAATGTAAACAAACAAAACTAAATATAAACTCTGCATGTTCATAAAGCTCTTATACAAATTTAACACCAAATTAAATTTACAAATTATTTACAATTTTTTTAAGTCAACTTAATGTGGTAGGTGATATTTGCTGAAACAAACTGCCCAAGGAAAGGTGAACATATTACTGACTGGCCAGTATATGCTCTTGGCCTGCAGCATGCTTGTAAGTGTGTCTTGTGAGAACTCCACTTTCCCATCACTTTCTTCTTTTCAAACTATTGCAAACCTTCATTTGTATAGCAAGCCATGAAGTATGAGGTTTATCTCATTTATTTTCTCACTAGCTCATGACAATTAAAGTACCATTACCTTGTGTCAACTTGATTGTGAAAACAGACTCAAATACATTTCCTAATTATGTGGCAGCACTTAGTTATCATGTACCTATCCAGATCCTACAGCATATGCTTAAAAATAACTGCAAAAGTAAAACGTACTTGTAGAAAACTTGCAGACTCTGTCATTAAACTCTAGTTTGAAAAATACCCACCTCTTATAGTATGTGCAAAAAGTATATATATTTAAAGTTTCTGGTGCTATTACCGGAATATCTAGATTATCATGCACCACTTGACTCTCTTTTCATTTGGGCAATCAAGTCTCTTGTTTGTGGGGACTAAGCCATGGCCCATTCAGCATCACCAGCCTCTGATCTCTGGGGATTGGCGCATTGGGGACCATAGACCAAACCATCACCACTCACATTTCAACAATTTTTAAATTGGTCAGCCCCATTAGATATTAATGAATGATTGATTTTGAAAGCCACATGCACAATGCAACATACCTTCTTGCAATCTCAATGAAAGAAAACAGGCATGCTCAACAGTCAAGTAATCAAGTAGCTAATGCAAGACAATAAATAAATTTTAAAAAAGGTACAAGAGCTGTTTTCACTATAAGTTGCATTGGTAGGGCAAGGCACAGACTTTAACACATAGTGGGACTTGTTTGTGTTAGAACTCCTCACTTCTTTTGCCTTCTTTTTCCTTTTCCTCTTGCTTTCTTCTTACACCTTTCCCCTCCTTTCCACCTATTTCCGTTCTATGTTTCCCTCAAGGATTAATGTATTGAGTTTTTCCACAAACCTAACTATATTTAATGCAAAAAATGTTGAGAAATTATGCCCTTAATTTATCTGAAAATGTGCTTCCTTTTATAAAACAGTATTAGGTAGCTTTTAAAATTGTCTTCATTTGGCAAAATGAGAAATTGGCAACCTTGGGTTTTCCACTGAACATTTTGAAAAAGTTTTACATATCCTAAATCTGGAACCACTTGTCCAGAGCACAGAGAAAAGATATGTGATAAGGGGAAAGAACAGTATGTACCACCTAGCAAAGTTGGTTTAAACTTAACAATTTAAGCTCCCTAACGTTTTCACGCGGGGAGGGAAGCATTAGCGGGAGTGCCTAAGTCTCGTTGGAATCACGGAAGGCTTCACAGAGGAGGTAACGTTGGAGCTGGGGCTTTAAGAATTAGCAGGGGAGAGGGGAGAAATGGCAGGGCTTTCCAAGCAGAGTGCATAATGCAAGTAAAAGCACAGAGCACAAAAACGCACTACGTGTCCAGCAGCTCTGAGTAGCCTGGTGGCGGTAACGTAGAGTTTTTGGAGTTAGGTGATTAAGGGTGAGGCAGGGACAATTTTTTCTGTTTGGATCATTTTCCCTACAGCTCATTGCACAGTGTTGGGCACACGCACTGCCGGTGCTCAATAAATACTTGTTGAACTGGGACAGGGTGATCCAGTGTGCTGGGAACAGGGCATCTGTATTCTTTCTCACGCACCCGCAGTGTGACCTTGGCCAAGTCCCTTTCCCAGGGGCTGCGGCTGCTGCTTAGTAATCAAGCGCGAGGTCCGCCCCGGGCACCGGGCGGGTCAGCGTTCTGAATCCCTGATTCGCTGCGCAGAGGGCGGGGCTGGGCGGGGCGGGCCGCGCGGGGCTGCAGCGGGCGGAGGTTCAGTTCCTCCTCCGCTCCAGCAGGGGGCACGGGGAGCGGCTTCTCTCCGCCCTTCCCCTCTTGACAGGCGCTGGGCGGACTGCTGCAGTCGCGAGCGGCGAGCGCAGTGGGAGGGGCGGGGCGGGCCGGGCCCGGCGGCAGCTCTGCGCTGACGGGCTGGGCCGGGCAGCTGCGGCGGCGGCGGTGGCGCCGACGACGACGGAGGCGCCGACGACGACGGAGGCTGCTGCAGAGGCCACTGAGGCACTGACTGGGTGGCCGGCGGGTCGTTGTGGCCTCCAGCAGCCTCTTCGCGCTGTCCCTCACTCCCTGGGCAGCGGCGGGCAGCAACGCTCAGCCTGCCAGTGAGCTGCGGCGGGCACACCCTGGAGCGGCGGCGACTGCGGACAGGTTAGAGTGGGGGCAGGGGCGGGCGCGGGAGCAGCCCGGGGCCAGAGAGGGAGCTCGAGCCAGGCCGTCTCCAACCATGTCCGACGAGACGTCGGCCACCACTTCGTACGAGAAGTTTCTAACCCCGGAGGAACCCTTCCCGCTCCTGGGACCCCCTCGCGGAGTGGGCACCTGCCCAAGCGAGGAGCCGGGCTGCCTGGACATCAGCGACTTCGGCTGCCAGCTGTCCTCCTGCCATCGCACCGACCCACTCCACCGCTTCCACACCAACAGGTACGAAGTGCTGCTGAGGGCAGGGGTGGAATTCCCAGCCCCGTGCCTCTCGCGGGAGAATGCTGGGTCGCTCCCTCGCTCCTGCTTCCTTGCCCCGGGCTGCGCTTCCAGTCACCCCCTCCCCCACCGTCTTCTGATCTGCGCTCATTCCCGGGCTCCTTCCCTACTCTCCCTCCCTATTTTCACTCCTGCCCTAGGATTTTTCTTTTGACCGGCGTTTTACTTTCTTTTCCCCATTCATTTTCTGGCTATAGCAACTCCTCCCTTCCCTACTTTCTCTTTCCCCTCCCCGCCCCTTGTCTGTACCCTGCGAATCCCAAACCCCCACCCTCGATTTTTAGATACTCCTCTGTTTCCATCCATCTGCAAAAGTTTAACCCCTTCCATTTCCGGTACACCGTAGAGTGGATTTCGGATGGCCCAAAATCAATCCGTAGGTCTTTTGAAAGGTGGCACTTTTAAAGCTAGAACCTTCCTTTTTCCCATTTTTAACCTGTCTCATAATCCTATTCCTTCCACTCCCACCCCTACCCCATTTTTTAGTGGAGCGCTAGGAAACTAGTGATTTTTTTTTCTCCTTTATGAACTCTTTGCCTTAGCACTTTAGGCCCTGCCAAAATGTATAAGCTTAAATCTGGAAGATTCCTTCATATAACACATCCCTTGGTTTGCTTCCCCGGTGGGGGGAGCAGAGCAAGGCTTAGGATGGGCTTGTTTATACAAATTTATTCAGAGGGTGCATCTTCTCCTGACTGGTTTTAGTAGAAGATAGTGTTCTAGAGAATTCTCTCATGCAAGAATTTAAGTGTTAGATCTAATGTTGTGGGGAATTTGAAAACGTTTTAGACATAGCCTCAACTTTTAATATAGGTGGATATTTGAGGTATGTATACAAAGGGCTGGGAAAGTGGACAACGGACTGGGAGAGGGGTTCAGCTATGGAAAATACTGGCAATAAATTAAGTAGTCTAATTCTGATTTCTGATCCAAGTTTACTATGTGAGTTTGATCAGATTCTTCCGTATTCTAATGTCTTTTGTATGTTTCTCCCCTTCTTCCCTTAAATCAATCCACAGATTTACTGAGCTTCTACCAGGTACAAGGAATGTAGAAAACATGATTCTTATCTAAAAGTTGTAGTCTGTGAAAACAAGGTGTTGTAGTTAAATCATCATTGTAACACATTTCAAAAGGAAGTGGCAGTAAATTTGTTAGGATTGTTCCAAATCACCATCGCAAAAATGAAGAAACAGGCCCAGATAGAAAAGACTGAGTTCAAGGTCGTAAAACCTAGATGGGCAAAGCCAACATTATTTTTGGGGAGCCAGTGATGAAACCTGGAAGAAAACTAATGGATCAAATGTTATAAATGGTTGTTATGGTTTCTTAGATTAACTCAGAGAAGCCTATTTAACCTTTAATGTAACTGTCACATAAATGTACCATTCATGAAATCAAGTGTGCTTAGGGTTATTTGTGTTGGAAAATAATGTAAAAGAATACCTTTGCATATATTTGCTATGTAAGTTTTGCAGCATTGGAGAAAGTCACCTACACAAGAAAATTCAATGATTTCAGAATGAGCCTGCTGTGATGATGAAGGCAAGGGAGTGGGGGCAGAGGTGGAGGGTAAGCACTACCAAAACTGGTGGAGGTGATGGGGAATGAAGCAATGAGAATAATGTGTCTTTTACAGCCTGTTCTGCTCTTCCTCTTCCTCCCCATTTTTTTCTTGTGTTTTCTTCCCCTTCTCTTAAAGACTGGTAAGGTCATGGCTGTTTTTCACAAAGAAGCAGTGAGGAGGGAGGGAGAGGTTCTTGTGAAGGCCCCAGATTTTCCAAGTCAAGCGTTTTTCCTAGTCACTGCCTGCTTTTTTTTAGCCTCCCTCTCCTATCCTACTTTTTATAAGACTCGGAATGGTGGCAGGGGGTCTAAAGATTTATATCCTTTTCAACAGAGAATAGGAGAAGCAGAATTAGCAATATTTATAGCAGATGATGTTTTTGCCCTAGGCTACCTTGCTTTTTAAATCTTTTATCCTTCTGGAAGGTTCTGCCTTCTTACCCCGCCTCAAGATGGCATTTGAGAGGACCATATGCTTCCAGCCGTTTCTTTTCAGGGGGGAAGCAAACAGCTAAATCATATATTTGGGCAAAGTTTCGTTTAGGAAGTTCTTTTATTTTGGCATTGTACATTTCACTTTTTTTCTTCACATCACATCATTTGCCAATTCAGGCAACAGTTCAAAAATCAGATCTGAATATTTGGGTACTGAAATTCTGCTTTGGGTTTAGTTATTGTAAAACAAACTTCATTGGAAGTAGAAAGCTTGGTAGTGGGTAGAAATTTGGCTTACCTTTATTTTGCTTCATTCTTATTACCTGATAAGAAAACTACAGAGATTGTTTAATGGCCTTGATAAGGGTTTTATGATGATGACAGTTTTGTGCCTACTCATTTACTGGTCTCTGGGTTATATTTGCAGTCTTCATTAGCCAAAGTGTCATGGCACTAACAGTCTCTGAGGTCGAATGAATGCAATGTTCAGATTAGAGTTGCCTGTGACGTAGGTTGATTTTAGGTTCAGTAAAAAATAAATTACACGGACACAACCAGTTTCTTTCTTAGGAAAGAATTCACACTTTCCTAGGAGTGTCTTTTAGGATTTTAAGACCTGGATGGGTTTGTCTAGAATTTTGGGAAAATAGAATAAATTCCAATAAGCCAAAAAAATTAGTGAACTTAAAAAATCTGAAATGTCAGTATGGAATATATATAGTGTTTAAGACATTTTTCTGATGTAAATGGGGGTTTTCTCTTAGTACTTCTGTCAGGGCTCGTTTTGTACACTAGCCATGTCTACTGCAACTACTACCACCACCACCAAAAAAGTTGTCATTTAGCAAATGGGAAAAATTATAATGATGTTGGTAGATCCTATGATTAAATTGTGAGATGAAGGAGGTTAATATGAACTACCAGATGTGTTATTCTTGTCATCTTTCAGGAGTGCATCAGTACCTTGACGTTGAACAATTGTGAAAAGTATGTGGGAGGACAGTGCCTTTTTGTATACCCTGTTGGCAGGATATGAGATGAACTAGTGTGTAAATCATTTATTCAGTTATGTGATTTTAGAGCCCCATTTTCAATCACTATTACCAGAAAACCCCCAAAACTATTAGTGTGCTTTTTGTACCACCCGTAGTTTTCCTATCTAGATACAGAATTAGAGGTGCAAAAGAGCCGTGGGTTGCAAGTGGGAGAACCCTGTTGAAGGAATTTGGTTTGGGGACTTGTTGAGACAAGTTGAGAATGGGGGTCAGGCTCTGGAGAAATACCCAGGCTAGAAATACAGATTTGGGAGTAATCAACAGAAATCCCTGTGTCGTGACAGGAGTGAAACCACAGGTTACAAAGGTTAAGAGGGTGGAAGTTTTTCAATAAATTTAACACGGAAAGGAAGAAGAGGGGATGTGGTAATAATTTGAAAGGGAAGTGAAGGTTTCTTCATTTGTTTTTTGCTTTGTTTAGTTTGTCTTTTCCAAGAATAGAGATTTTAGCTCCTTAGAAGCAGGCCACAGGAAAGGGAGAAGTTGAAAATACAAGAGAGGGTGGGATGAGAAGAGATGGAGGTGATGAACTCACAAGCCCAAATGGACGAATTAGTCTTAGAAATGACACGGAATGTTTTTTACTTCTGAGACAATAGAGAGAGTAGGAAAGATGGGTAATGATCCCAGGACAATTGAGGTAGCTAGGAGGGAACTTAAGTGGGTAGAGTAGGGGATTGTATTGTATCATCTGCTCCAAGTTGGAACCTTGATGGCCTGTTGGGCTCCAGAGCAGTAGCAGAGGTCAGGGTGACTGTATGGAGATTCTGGCAGGGAGTCAGTGATGAATACAAGTGATGATGAGGCACTGTACCCTAAGGGTGAATGCATAGCATAGATTTCAAATGACTTTTATCAGCTTGACAGTTATAACTTTATTCAACAGTGGTCACTGGCTGGATTCTCACCCTCAGAGATGATGGTTAGGTCCACCTGAGAGAGGAAGAGGCCGCAGAGGAATGTGTACATGGCACAAATGGATTTCTTAATTTTAGCATTTAAATGATTATTTACCAAAACACTATTGAGAGCACTTAGTCTGTATATTCTTGCTGAAATTCCTTGCAGAGAAATGTTCTTGGCTTTACGTTTTTTAAATTAAAATTTGAGCAGCAAGCCAACTTATTGAAATCTATTTGCACCATTTCATTGGAATTCTTTTCAACATTTTTCTCTTAAGATTTTAGAGAAAGTCTTTGAGAGTAATCTTACGGTTATAGCTAAAATCTTAGGTAGCTTTTTCTTAGTGGAATAAAATGTAAGGGCATATAAATTTGAATATTTTAGCACCGAGCACACAATAGGCATTCATTACAAGTTTAAAACTGACAGAAAGAATCACACTTAAATTTTTATTATAAAAGCTTATAGAAAATTGTGGGCATATAAAAACTATAAAGACCACTCATAATCCCTTTCCCCAAAGGTAACAAACAAGTGTCATCATTTTGATATTTTTTCACTTAATGTTTCTATGTACATATATAATTTTTAAAAGTCAGGATCAGGTTGTGTATACAATTTGTGAGCTGCTTATCTGCACTTACATTGTTGAGTGTTTTCCTTTTCAATAAATAGTCTGAAAATATGATTTTTAATGATTATAAGAGTACCATTCAGATATATCACTTAATTATTCCCCATGTTTTGGTAGCATTTATTTTCCCTTTTGACTGTTGCAAGTGATATTGTTTGGACATGTTTGTGCATACATCTTTTTTCCAAATTTCTGTTGGAGAAGGGAATAGAATCCTAGAAGGGGAATTAATGATTCCAAAGGAATGACCCTTTTAAAAGCTCCTGATATATATATAATACCAAATTGCTTTTCAGAAAGATTATGTCTGCTTACACTTGCAGTAGCAATGATTAAAAGTACTTCCTACTTTGTTTTAATCCATATTGGCTTAAAATAATAATAAAAATATTTGCAAATTAGAAGATAAATTTTTTTTTAAATCTTGAAGGGTGAAACATACCATTTTTCTATTTTGTAAATGATTTGTTTCAACTATGAGCCAGGTTTACTTGCCACTGATAATTAAAAACAAAAGAAAATCATGAATCCAGAAAACTAAGGAACACACTGATTTTGCCCTAAGGTAAGAGCATAAAACCAAGCAAATTCCTGACTCTGTCAGTGATCTAGTGGTTACATGATTGAATATGGCATGGCTTTTAAAAAAGGAATGCCATTGTTACTCATGGAGGGAAATATATTTGAACAAAATTTTTGCAAGCTGGAAAGAAATTCTAATTAAAAATAATCATCTAACAGTTTTTCCTAGCACTGAAATTAGTATTTGGCACGTGGAAGATAACTGACTAACGTTTGTTGAGTGGGTGAATGAATCAAGGGAAAAAAGTCATATGCAATTTCAAGACACAAGAGAAAAAATAGTTAGCTCAGGACCCAATGTAGATAGAGTTTACTGTGTCTAGGACAGAACTTGTGATGGCTGTTTATAACTTTTATCGAAAGATCTGGGCAATTTGATTAATTCTACTAGGTTTGTTAATTTTTTATAAAATGAGGATACTGCCCACCTAGCAAGCATGTGATGAAACTAAATAGTATTGCAAGGTATTCTAGGATTTTTAGATGAATTTTAGATTTTTATCTATTTATAAAAATTTATTGACATCTGCTTTTTATTTATTGAACTATAATAGTTTGTAGGTGTGTTCCAATGCTTTAAAATGCACTACGTTCAACTCAAAAGAAAAAGCTACCATGGAATTTTTCAAGTTGCCCAAATTTTGTAAATCAGGATCTTCTAAATTTAAGATTAGCCATACAAAATAGGGGAGGAAGTTTTAAAAAATGAAATATATAATTAAGAAAAACTGGATTAAATGAAGGATGAGAAACAACCTAATAATAGGTAAATAATAGGCTTTTTTTCAGGAAGTCATTATTTCAAGAGCTTATTAGTATTGGAAATACCAAGTCATTATCTTAAGGATTAATTTCCTATGCTACTGCCAAAGCAATGAAGATTATCTTATTAATTAGTATAACACTAGTGGAAATTTACAAAAGAAAACAGATTGATAGATTTCAAGACCAGAAAAAAAGAAACCAAAAGGCTCTGCAACAAATACTATAGACAAAATGTTAATATAGTTAATGCATAAAGAACCCTTTCAAAATCAATAATGAAAACATTAACACAGAAAAACACCATAGCATACTAGCTAATAAATATTTAACATTTTGATCTTGCTAGTAATCAAAGAAATAAAAATGTTTCTGTCCAATAAGATGGCTAAAACATTTTTAAGTAAAAATTTCAATGCTGTTAAGGTTGTGATGAGATGAGCACTTTTATATACTACCTCAGGGAGTGTAAATTGGTACAGCCTTTCAGAAAGATATTTGACTAAATGTACCATGAGCCTTAGAAGTATTCATATTCTTTGATTCAGTACTTAACCTTTCAAGCAGTATATCCTGAGAGAATTTATATTTTGATAAATAGTTATAAACAAAAGGCTCATCTCAGTATTATTTGTAATATAAGAAAAATTGGAAGCAGCCTATATGTCTATTATTGGAGGAATAAGGTTAAATAAATCATGATACATTCAATCAATGGAATTTTATATAGGCATTATATTTTTTCAAGTAATATGTTTAGGAAAATGTTATATATTAATAATATTAAGTGAAAAGGCCAGATACTAAAATATATACACATAGAATGATTGCTAATTCTGTAAAAAATATATATGCACCTAGAAATAAAGTACTGAAATAGTATGAATTAGTTATTGGTGGATAATGGAATTATTGGTCATTTTATTCTTTTTTCATTTCTTATTCTAACATCTTTGCAATGAGCCTGTATAACATTAATATGGAAAAGTTATTTAAGTATAACAAACACTTGAACTTCTACCTGTGTGCTTTGTTGCTGCTTTTCTCTACCCTGTAATAGCTCCCCTCTTCCTTTAATTTAATAATAATAGCTATCATGTATTGAGCATTTATTATGTGTGCTAAGTGCTGTGTATGCATTCTCATGTAATCATCACAGTAGCTCCATTTTAAAGATGGGGACACAGGCTTGGAGAGGTTATAATTTGCTTAAGATCAAATAGCTAGCAAGGGACGGAGCAAGAATTTGAATTCAGTCTGACTCCAGAGATTACTCATAACCACTATGCTATATGTTTTGTTTATGGATAAAAGTTTTACTTTATTCCTAATTTAAATACGTCGTTCTTTAAAATATTTTATTATAAACGTTTTCAGACAGCTACCAAAGTAGAGAGAATAGTGTAATGAACCTCACGTTTTTATCATGGAGCTTCGGCAATTATTCACATATGGCATCATGCTTCATCTATACCCCAACCTATTCCTTATTATTTTGAGGCAAATCCTAGACATATTCATAAATATGTTAGTATATTTCCTTAAAAGGTAAAGTTTCTTTTAAAAACACAAAAAACACTCACTTTTCTCATACATATCATAAATGTATCCTATTAATACCTTAAAATCGTGTGGATTCTGTAGTTCTTGCTGTGATTTCTTTTGTGTCGTGTTTTTGAAGGTGGAACCTAACTTCTTGTGGAACAAGTGTTGCCAGCTCAGAATGCAGTGAGGAGCTGTTTTCATCCGTTTCAGTTGGAGATCAAGACGATTGCTATTCTCTGTTAGATGATCAAGACTTCACTTCTTTTGATTTATTCCCTGAGGGAAGTGTCTGCAGTGATGTCTCTTCTTCTATTAGCACTTACTGGGATTGGTCAGATAGTGAGTTTGAATGGCAGGTAGGTTTTTTTGCTTTTATTGGCATCATTACTACACAAATAAAAGTATAAATTTCTCTTGATATTTTCATCTCTACCTCAGTAAGTTTCTCTGGTGTTTATCCAATCCTGGGGAATTCTCTGACAACATGTTTTAAGGTTAAGAAGTAGATGGAATATGTATCCTTTATTTTTGCTAATGTACCTTTTAGACTTCTGATACTACAGATATCCTTTTGTAGATTTTTGTGTAATTTAATACTTGTATAATATTACCATTATTGTGTATCATCAGTACCTTATGCGTGAATCTAAGCAAATTTATTCTTCTTACCTTGTAATAAATTGCTTTCATGTCATTATAGGATACACATCAGGGTCAAGTTATTGTATCTAATATCATAAAGCATTATTACCATAAATACATAATTTTTGGTTCTGTTATCAGAAGTATATAATTTCTCATTTTGTATTTTCTGTGTACGTAGAGCTGTTTTTCACCTGACACTTTTTTCTTCTCATGGCATATATACCATGTAAAGTGGCTTTGTGGAAAATTGTTTGAAAATGCTGCCTTATAATGAGGGCAATCTATCAGAAAATGTAGTTTTGTGTTATTGCAACATCCATTTTCTGATTGTAAAAGACAGTAACATTTAAAGAAGCTTTCCTGGCATACAGCAAAGGTTTTATTCAATAGATGAATGCCTACTATGTTTGAAAGCCATCTAAATACTTGAAGTTGTATTCCAAAAGAGGACTCGAATATTATTTTATTTCAAACAATTTTCTTTTCTTTTTTGGCTTATAAAAGACAAATTTATTTCTCACAATTATGGAGGCTGGGAAGTCCAAGATCAAGGTGCCTGCATATTTGGTCTCTGGTGAACACCCACTTCCTTATAGATGGTGCCTTTTTGCTGCATCTTCACATGGTGGAAGAGGTGAAGGGCCTCTTTTAGGCTTCATTTATAAGGGCACTAATCCCATTTATGAGGGTTCCAGCCTCATGACCTAATCATCACCCCAAGGCCCCACCTCCTAGTACCATCAGCTTGGGGATTAGGATTTAAACATACGAATTTTGGGGAACACAAACATTCAGACCATAGCTCATTCTAATTTCTAAATCCAGTCACTTAACCCTCAACTATCTTTACTTCTCTGTGACATTTGACACTGATGACCCCTCCTTCTGTCTTTTTTTTTTTTTTTTTGGTACCCTCCCTCTGTCTTGAAACACTTTCTTCCCCTGGCGTCTATGACACCTGCTGTCCTGGGTTTTCTCCCTCACATCTGACTGTGTCTACTCAGTCTCTTTAATAGCTGCTGCTCCTTAGACTATCCCTTAAATGTCACCCACAGTCTTGCTCTCGATCTCATTTTCTTTTGCCCATATATTTATATATACATATACTCAGCTATGATAAATACCACAAAAATGCCAGTGAATCTTGAGTCTCCATGTCCAGCCCAGGGCCATCTCCTAAACAGTCTCAGAACAGTGATCACCTGCTGGGCTTCTGCACTTGACCATCCCTCAAGTTCCTCAAACTCCTCATGTTCAAAATGGACTGTGCTGCCACTTCCCTAATCCTGACACACCATGTCTCTTTATCAGTAAACATCACCAGAATTCCAATGTCACTGTCCAGTCATCTTGGACTCCTCCCTCTCTGTCACCTTCCACAAATGATTGGTCACCAAATCCTACTCATTCTATTGGTGTAAAAGTAACCTGGATGCACCTGCTCCTATTTGAAACACCATCTTTGCCCAGTATAGCATCAATAAGAAAAAAAAATGAAAAGTAATGTAAACCTTTACTGTAATCTCCCCCCAAATGCCAAAGGGTGATTACAGAGTATGACACATAGCAGAATGCACTAAAAGCCTCTTACTCATCCATTTCCTCTAAAAAGTTGACCGCTTTTCACAGCATGGTGGTTGAGCTATCTCACATACTCTCTCCTCTCAAAACAGATGCAAGATCCCTACATAGAAGGCTAGAGGAGGGTGGAAGCCTGCAAGTATTCATGTAGGACTATATTTTTATACTGCCACATATATTTGTTGAATTTGTGAATTATCCCTGTGTGCATCATATGCCTTTCTTCCCTCATGACTTTGTTGCTGCCATATATGTTCAAGTTTTTTATTCTTTCATTTTTTATTCTTCTCTATTCAAATAACTTTTCATTCGCCTATTTGCCTCTATGCTTTCCTTTGTCCACTTCATCTTCCTTCCCCACTGCCACTAAAGTCATCTCTATAAATCAGATCTGTTCATGCTATTCTGTTACTTAAATCCTTTACTGGCCTCATAACCTGTAAGTTGAAGTGCCAACTCCCTAGTCCAGCATGTAAGATCTTTTTTTTTCTTCATTATTATTTCAGCATATTATGGGGATACAAATGTTTAGGTTACGTATATTGCCCTTGCCCTTCCTGAGTCAGAGCTTCTCAAACAGTTTTCAAATAATACAAAATGGCATCAAATTAAAAAGAAAAGGCTCCAAGCCCCACTCTACAGTGGTTACCACTCTTAAGGGCTTATACAGATACAAGTATGTTAGTGTATTGTTAAAAACACACAAAGAGGACCATACTTCATCTACTGTTTGGCCTCGTGCTTTTTTTCAACTAATATATCTCATTGTTTTTATAACTAGATCATAATTTATTTAATCAGTTTCCTAATAACTATTTAGGTTAGTTTCAGTTTTTTGTTATAAACAATGCTACACTAAAAATTAAGAGATGTTTTTAAAGAGAAAAAAATAATTCACAACCCTTCTATTTTTATTTTTATATTATTTCAACTTTTGTTATATATAGTTATAAATATGATTTAGATAAAAATCTATAAAAATTTTTTAAATTTTTTAAAAAATTGAGATAAAATTTACCATTTTAATCATTTTAAAATGTACAATTCAGTGGTTATTATTAATATACTCACAGTATTAATATACTCACAGTCCCAATTCTTCCCTGCCTCTATCACCTGGCAACCACTAATCTACTTTCTCTGCGGATTTGCCTTTCTGGATATTTCATATAAATGGACTCATAATATGTGGCCTTTTGTGTCTGGCTTCTTTCACTTAGCGTAATGTTTTCAAGGCTCATCCATGTTGTAGCATGTAACAGTACTTCTTTCCTTTCTAGGCCGAATAATATTCCATCATGTGGGTATACAGTACCACATTTTGTTTATCCGTTCATTAGCTGTTGGACATTTGGGTTGTTTCCATTTTGGGGCTGTTATGAATAATACTGCTATGAACATTCAGGTACAAGTTTTTATATGTATGTATATTTTTAATTCTCTTGGATATCCCCCGAGGAGTGGAATTGCTGGGTCATATGATAACTCTTAGTCTAACTTTTTCAGGAACTGCCAACATAGTTTCCAGAGTGGCTGCACCATTTTACATTTACACCAGCTATATATAAAAGTTCCAATTTCTCCACATCCTCGTCCACACTTGGCATTGGCTGTCTTTTTGGTTATAGCCATCCTGCTGAATATAAAGTAGTATCTCATTGTGGTTTGATTTGCATTTTTGCTAATGACTAATGGTATTAAGCATCTTTTTATATGCTTATTGGCCATTCGTATGTCTTCTTTAAAGAAACATCTATTCAAATCCTTTGTCCCTTTTAAAATTGTGTTTGTCTTTTTATTGTTTAGTTGTAAGAGTTCTTTCTGTATTCTGGCCACTAGACCCTTATCAGATGTTTTGCAAAAATGTTTTCCCATTCTATTAGTTGTCTTTTCACTTGATAGTGTTCTTTGACACACAAAAGTTTTTAATTCTGATGAAGTTCAATTTATCTGGTATTTCTTTGCTGTGTTTATAATGTCATATTTTAAAAACCATTGCCTAATCCAAGGTCATGAAGATTTTCACCTGTTTCCTCTTCAGAGTTTTAGAGTTTTAGTTCTTATATTTAAGTCTTCGATTCATTTTGACTTACTTTTTGTACAAATATGGTGTAAGATAGGAGTCCAAATTCATTCCTTTTTTTTTTTTTTTTAAGAGATGGGGTCTTGCTGTTGCCCAGGCTGGACTTGAACTCCTGGACTCAAGTGATCCTCCTTCCTCAGCCTCCTGAGTAGCTGGGACTAGAGGCATGCACCACCATGCCCAGCTAATTTTTTCTATATATTTTTATTTGTCCAATTAATTTCTTTCTATTTTTAGTAGATATGGGGTCTTACTCTTGTTCAGGCCAGTCTCGAACTCCTGAGCTCAAATGATCCACCTGCCTCGGCCTCCCAGAGTGCTAGGATTACAGGCCTGAGCCACCGCACCTGGCCCAGGCACAATGTTGAATAGAGGTGGTGAAAGTGAGCATCCTTGTCTTTTTCCTGATCTTAGGGGAGTACTTTCATTCTGCTTTTGGATAGTTCTCTAGTATCTTGTTAAGGATTTTTGCATCTATATTCATAAGGGATATTGGTCTATAGTTTTCTTTTCTTGTTGTGTCTTTGCCTGGCTTTAGTATCAGGATAATTCTAGCTTCATAGGAATTAGGAAATGTTCCCCTCTCTTCTGGATAAAATTTTGTAATAAAATTTTCTCATTTAACATATCATAAACTTTTTCATGATATTCATAATGAATTCTTTAATGGCTGCATAATATTCTTGCTATTAGATGTACTAGAACTGGTGAAATCATTCCCCTATTTACAGTTGTTTCAAATTTTTCTCTATTATAGATAACAGAGATCATTTTTGTGTGGGTTATCATTTTATTCTTTAGTGTCTCATTTTTTTTAGGTACATGCTTTGTATTTAAAATCAGGCCAGGTGCAGTGGCTCATGCCTATAATCCTAACACTTTGGGAGACCAAGGTGGGAGGATTGCTTGAGGCCAGGAGTTCGAGACCAGCCTGGGCAACATAGTGAGACCCCCATCTCAACAAAAGCTTAAAAAAAATTAGCAGGGCATGGTGGCATACACCTGTAGTCTCAGCTACTTGGCAGGCTGAGGCAGGAAGATTGCTTGAGCCCAGGACTTTGAGGTTACAGTGAGCTGTGATTGCACCACTGCACTCTAGCCCAGGCAACGGAGCGAGATCCTGTCTGAAAAATAAAAAAGAAAATAAAATCAGACTGCAAGGATTCTTCATAAAGCTTAATCAAATGTAGTGCTGATAATTCTGAGATATTTTTTCTGCTTATTTCATGTGGTTTATTTAGTCTTATCCATAATGTTGCAAGGTGGCAGGCAATTTTAAATTTTAATTGATGGCTTCTTTACTCATTTCATGGGTAGTTAGAGTGGAAAATCATCCCCATCCACTCACCATTAATGTACTCGAGTGACTACGATATTGGAACTAAAATCAGTCCTGCCTTAGTAATGTGTTTTCCCTCTTCTGAAATTGGAGTACGAGTACTCTGTTACCATGGATATTTGCTGTTTAAATATTCTGAAAGGTTTAAAATGCTGTCTTGTCTTTGTGGGACCTTATAATGATGAGCAATAAATTATCCAAGAAGATAATTACAAATTATATGTTAGGATTAATACAGACTAAAAATCATTTAATATAGTTTAAAAATTTGCATTACTTCTGTTGTGATTGAAAACTGCATCTGTTTAAATCTTTCTTTTTAACAGATGTTTCTGTTACTACTAAAGTAAATATAAATGATTTATAGATTCTCTGGGAAGAGAAATGCTAACTACTCAATAAGAAGAGATTTTAACCTTAGAATGAAGTAACATCTTAACATTTTGCTTTGCTGATAGTTTTCTTTCCTTGCATTCCTTTTGTTATTAAGGATATATTTGACTAGTCTTAGAGCTTGAGAAATTGTTTCTATTGTTGAGCAGGAAAGCTTAGAAAATTTAAAGAGTGAATAATTTTGCTGTCACACTTGAAACCTAGAGGTACAGTCTGAAATTACATATTAGCTGTTACGGAAATGAGCTTACTCATAAAATTCTGCTGCATCCTGCAGAAAATATGGCAGAGATTTGATTTAAATCTCCCTATGTGTCACAATTACTGATTATAATATAAATATGCCAGATATTGTCTATGAAAGATATGGAATGGGAGTTATTAAGCATTTTATTCTGAAATATATTATCAGTTATAAAATGGAAAATTACTGGTCTAATAAATATATAGGAGCCCATACAATTAATTCTGCTGTACAACTGCTACTCTAATCCCATATCTCCAATTGACTACTTGACATTTCCACTTGGATGACCTTATTATTTAATACTAACCTATTATCTAATGCTGAGTTCTTGGGCAGTGATGCCACTTCCAATTACAATGTTTCCATGGAAAAAGATAGTCTCTGCTTTGTGACATGTCTTATAGCATAGTGAAAAATGACTATGTTCTGTTTAAAGGACACTTGTGCTTGCTTCTTCCATTATCACTACAAACTCTATATCCCAGCTTGCATTCTTCTCTCATTCCAAACTGCCTCCAAGGCAAGACTGTCTGGCATAGTAGAAAGCACTGGACTTGTGTCCTACTTTGGATTCTGCCACTTAAATTGTATGACCTTCCCTGGACATCATTTTCCCTTATTTGTAAAATGAGGGTGTTGGACTAGAAGTTCTGTAACATTGCTTCACTTCTCTTGCTGTAAAAATTGAGGTTTAAGTGTATCACTCTGGATGAGTTGTATGACCTGCCAACAATTTTCTTCTGGTCTCAACATCTTGACTCTTTATTACCCTTATTCTTTCAGTTATCAAACAGCTTTGTAAATTGTTTTCCATTTGAAATTTTTCATATCTTTTTTAATTTTTCTTTCCATTTTTGCTTATCTTAGTTCAGGCCTAGATTACAACAAAAGCTTCCTGTTTAATTCCAGTTTTAACTCACTCTATTTTGTCCCCATAGTGCTTTTAAACTAATCTTCCCTAAAGACCATTTTCATCAAGTTACTTCTACTTTGAAAATGTTATCAGCCCTCTTCTCCATATCATATGACAGTTTCTGGGTCTTCTGTTGAACTTGCAAGTCCCTAGCACTGATTTTCTGTTTTCATCATGTTGATATATGATTAAGTGATATATGATATCTACGATATATGTCACCTCACCCTATGTTTTTTTCCATCCGTGATTTTATGAAGTTATTCTCCTTACCTGAATGCCTTTTTCTTTTTCCCCTTCTATCATTCTGAAACACTACCTTGTGAAACTTAACCCACCCACTTTAGCAAAATGTGGCATTTTCTGAGGATCTATGCTTTTCTAAGAGTCCAAAACGATGGCAAGGGATAGAAAAAGAAAAATACATCTCTCTATTGAGTTTCACCTATATGCCAGGCATGTTAATCTCACTTAAACCTCTCAATAATCCTTTGAGATTGATGGTATTAATGACATTCTACTACAGACTCTGAGGCTGAAAGAAACAAATTAACCTGCAGAGGTTATACTGCTAGTGAGCAATGGAGCTGGGATTGGAACTCGGGAGTCTTTTTACTTCTCCCTGAAAAAAATGGCCAAAGAAGCATTAATTACCTTTTTTTACACCCCTCAACAAACACATAAACAGAATTAAAGGTACAAATTTAAGTGCTTAGCATTTTGTCTGGCACCTAGCAGATATTCTCTAAACATTTAGATGAAAATTTTTCTTAAGTTTCGAAAGTATAGGTATTTTAGGAGTTCCTTTTTCTACCTCATTTATCAAAGGAGCTTGAAGTAGGGGAGGCCTTTCATATGATAAGGAGTGTCTCATTTTGTTTTAGGGACCCCAAGGAAATGTCTAATGTTGTGATTTGAAGTCAAAGGGAAAATAGGAAAGCATTTTCTTTTTTCCCATTAAAGTCTGAGAAAGAGATAGCCTTCTTGTGTGTATTCAGCAATCATATATTCATAACAATGACTAGATAACATTAGGGCCAAGGGGGAAAAACAATTCAACTAACAAGCAATGTTAGTTAATGAGATTTTAAAAGAAGTTAAATTGTTGAAAGTCACATAGTTGAATTCATCAGTGACCGTCATTGTGATAATGTGGTTTTTAAGAGTAGTAGCTACTTACAAGGGTGTAGAAAGAATGGTCTTTCTCAACTTAGTTTCATTCTGAATCTCGTGGTCATCTTGCAGGGTTATTGACCCCATCTTTGTGGCCTCACTCATCTCTTCTATGAGATTGACTCCCTGTGCCTGCCTGCAATCCTTTGTAGCTCTCCCAAACTTTAATCCTGCAGCTTCAACCCACTGCTAGATATTTCCATTGATGACCTGTCATTTCAAATTTAGTATTCATCATGTGCTGTGTTATATAATTGTATGTTTGTGTTATCGTATTACCTTCCCAAATAGAGTATAAAGTTTTTGTTTAAGGACTTAAATTCCTTTGAATCCCCTGTACCTATTAAAGTGCTGTGTGTACAATAGAAGTTCAAATACATGTGATTCCAATAGTCTTCATGACTAAAGTAGCTTCTCTTTTGGTAACTTCGAAAGCCTAGGAATCATCCAGAGTTCAGATACAATTGCAAACTCTATCGAACCAAAAAACAACAATAAGATGCTGTTTTGTACCTTGTAAAAATGAAAGCAGTGTTTCTGAAAATTGTTATAGTCTCTTTGTAGAAGAAAATACTTTTATCTTTTTGATAAGTGACTTAAATACATTTATTTAAATCTATTAGAACTTTTGATGTTTATTACCTTGATAATGGTGATGGTTATGTTGGTGTATGTGTATGTGTAAACTCATCAAATTGTATACATTATACATCAATAAAGCTGTTAATAAATTGAATCCACTCTGTTTAATAGGCAATATAAAATTATAGAACATATTTTTGCTATTTTTCTCACTTTAAATTGATTTGATTTTCTGTGTGTTGAACTTGGTTTTATTTCTCCTTTGTCTATACTTTGTTTTCCATCATTTTTTTCTAATTTTTGTTTTCTAATACTTCTGGTCCTTAAAGTGTTTGCAGCATATTTTAAATTATTTTAATTGTCTCGAGATTGTTAATACAGACTTGAGGACAAGGACCATGATTTGTCTTTATGTTGGAAGCATGTCTGGCACAGTCTATGACAGAAAGCCAGTTAGTGGCAGATCACTAAGGTCTCCCAAGATGGAGACCCGAGCTTCTTATTCATTAAGTTGTCTGGGCTGTAGTCACATTCACATTATAAATTAAAAACCTTACTGATGATTGACTCTTAACTTCGATGTTAACAGGTCTTGATTATGATTTTAAGCTTTTGGAAAACGTCTTTTATTGAATAAGTAAATACATACAAAAAGTATATTGATGTTGCTGCTTTGTATAAAATAGGCATGGGTCAGAATTAATGTCCTCCAATTCTGTATTTGCCATGAGTCTTATATCGAAGCAACTTTTAATCAATGTATGATTTAATCAACGTGATATATTGTGATGTTTAAAATGTAATTTTAAAAAATTTTGCTTTCCCTGCCTCCACCTTCCTTATTTTTATAAAGTTACCAGGCAGTGACATTGCCAGTGGGAGTGATGTTCTTTCTGATGTCATACCCAGTATTCCAAGTTCACCTTGCCTGCTTCCTAAAAAGAAAAACAAGCACCGGAATTTAGATGAGCTTCCTTGGAGTGCAATGACCAATGATGAGCAGGTAAATATCTGCACATTCTTAATTAAAAGCATATATATGGAGAATGTGTGAGGCTCAGTTTATTGCTGATTGCTGTTTAAAGCTGGTAAATCTAAATTTGAGCTTTAACTATTTTTCAGGGAACAAATGTAATCTTAAGCGCTCCTAATATATAAAACACATTATAATTGACATACTAAAGGATCAGAGGTTTTAGCAAAGATATTGTTTGTTGTAATTTTTTTATCACATAGGTGGAATACATTGAGTATCTGAGTCGGAAAGTCAGTACTGAGATGGGTCTTCGGGAGCAACTTGATATTATTAAGATCATTGATCCTTCTGCTCAAATCTCCCCTACAGACAGTGAGTTTATTATTGAACTTAACTGTCTCACAGATGAAAAACTGAAGCAGGTATGTAAAAAAAATACAGATTGTTTACCTATTGAAAATACCACCATCTTATAAAATGTAGACTTGAGTAATCATATATAAATACATAGATAAATAAAGTCAAAATCATTGTTGTAAAGTATATTATTAGGAAAAATGATGGTAATGTTTGAGAACATGTGGTTTTAATAGGTTTTATGCACATCTCACATGGCAGTATCTTTCTGGGATCAGTGTGATTCTAGAACCTGCTCTTCAGTTGTATAGGCTTTGAACCTTAATGTCACTACTGAAGGGGTGATGAGGCTAAGGTATGGATTTATTCTAATTCAACTTTCAGGAGACTAGTTGACAATCCAAATACTGATTTAAGCTATACTTTGGTAAACATCTGGGCTGAGGGATTTGAGTTAAAATGAAAAAGAGCTTTGCTGCTCTTTTTCTCTAGTACATGGCTGAATGAATATTTGTGTCCTTAAGTTCTACTTTTGGTTTGTTTGTTTTGCATTTATCATTATTTATGAAAATTTCTCTCATTTCAGTATTTCTCCCAACAGACACACTATAATTTTCTCCATTGCAGCTCATTTTTCATTAGTATGGTAAATTGTCTTGCATTTGAAGACAGGTACTGTTGGCCCTTAGCTAAGATTTAGGAAACACCCTAATGTTAATTACAATCTGCAACTTACTTAAATCATCTTAAGTGGAGACCTTTAACAAATACCTAATCTCATATGTTTTATTTTGTTGTTAGTTTCTATTTCAGTGTTATTTTCTAGAATTTTGAACATTGTCCATTTTTCTGGTACTTATTTCTAAATTTAGAGATTTTTTTGCCCTTCTATTCTACCTTATTTATGCATCTGCAGCACTTTTGACAATCTTTTAGATTAAGTACAATATGATTGTTTTCCCCTCAGCATTTTGAGGGTAGAGGGTCAAGAAACCACACTAACCAGTTTTTGTCTGTGTATCCCAAGGTCAGAAACTATATCAAGGAGCATAGCCCTCGCCAAAGGCCTGCAAGAGAGGCCTGGAAGAGGAGCAACTTTAGTTGTGCAAGCACCAGTGGAGTGAGCGGTGCCAGTGCCAGCAGCAGTAGTGCCAGCATGGTCAGTTCTGCAAGCAGCAGTGGGTCCAGTGTTGGAAACTCTGCTTCAAACTCCAGTGCCAACATGAGTCGAGCACACAGTGACAGCAACCTGTCTGCAAGTGCAGCAGAGCGGATTCGGGATTCAAAAGTAAAACGTCTAATCAATACAAAACTTTACCTTTCAATATTAACATTAGTACTCCTTCATATAAATTTCTTGAAGAGTTAAAATGATCCTGCTATCTAGATACCTGTGGGTTTTGGTTTTAATTGAGCAAGCAGGATGCTCTGCTGTTGAACAAAGCACTCCAGGCTGAGTGCTTTGACATGCCATTTTGACCCACAACCATATCTCATTCAATTTTATCTGATTTTTGTGTCTAAGTAAGATAAATTGATGGAAATAATGAATTATCTCGATTGCAATATTGACTGCAACTCACTACTGAGCGAATCTCACTATGTTGCTGATGTTGCTGTCTATTAGCTCCTAAGAATGTTGTGTGTGTGTTTTGTGTGTGTTTAATGTTTTCTCAATGTTATAATCTTGAATGTTTCTTCTTAGCTAATTTAAAAATGTAATAATGCTCTCTGTAATTTCCATCTATTCTTTCACAATTGAAAAATGCTATATAATATATAGAATTATATATTTAAAAAGATATAAGCATATATATTAAATAGAATGGTGCTGTGGCTTAGCAGGGGAGTTTAGTTCCTTGCAGTGGAAAGAGTCTAGAACCAGTTTAAGGATGATAAGAGAATCTGTTTAATTCTTTGGGAACCCAGTGATGACTTGAAGATACACAGTGATTCCTTCTCTGGTTCTTAGTGAAGTAGCAGAAACATAGCCAGCTTTGTTGGGATGTCTCTGGATATGTGGTCATTCCTTTTTGGCATCAGTTCACCAGTGACAAGGGTTGGAGTACTCACAGGGTTTCTAATGGACTTTTAAGATGGTATTTGCCTAATATGAAAAAGGCATGATTTTTTCCCCAGCCATTGTAAAATTGCTGGTGTTTTTAGATGAAAGGCACCTGAGAATGATAAGCATTAGAGATTTGGGCAATGTTCTCTACATTTGTTTTCAGTATCGTCCCCGAGTATTAATTGTATGTTCGCTGTGCACTGACACCAGTGTACCTTAATTGGATTAAAAAAGGAAAGGCTTTGAAATGACCGGTTATTCATAACTAGCCAAAATGATCAAGTTTCAGCCCTTCCTAATCAGAAGGGTCACTGGTCAAATACCATAAAAATAGAATCTTGAAGAATTATTTTTCAAGTCTAAGCCAATGGCTCACTTAATTGGAACAAGGATCATACTAACAGCTCTTAAAATTTGGAAAATAGAGAATTTGATTCATAAAACATTTTGGGGTGGATATGCCAAGAGCTAAACCTTACTGACTTAGAAATTTTTATTTTGACAGAAGCGATCCAAGCAGCGGAAGTTACAGCAGAAGGCCTTCCGCAAGAGGCAGCTGAAAGAGCAGAGGCAGGCTCGGAAGGAGAGACTCAGCGGGCTCTTCCTTAATGAAGAGGTGCTGTCCTTGAAAGTCACTGAGGAAGACCATGAAGCAGATGTTGATGTTTTGATGTAATAAGGGTGAATTTATCAGCATTCTTTCTAAGCATTATTCTATCCTTATTGGTTTACATGCATCTTGACCAAAATTTTGGTTAGGGCTGTGCTGATGTATCATTAATAATTTAGGCTAGTGGTTCTCAGCAGGTGGTCCAGGGACCTGCAGCTTCATCATTACCTGAGTTGTCCGGAATGCATACTATTGGGCCCCACCCCCTAGTGAAACAGAAGCCAGAGGGGAGGGGCCCAGCATTGTGTTTTAACTAGTGCCAGGTTATTCTGATGCACATTCTGGTTTAAGAACCACTGACTTTGGTAAATGTTTTGACTATTTAAACATGGTGGTTAAGTGAGCTTTTTCAAAGACTAGTACTTTTACAGTTTTGAAGATTTCAAGGTACTGCTGACAAGTAGTTTATTATGTCAGTATACATACATGTGTGAAGATCATAATTCAGTTCCCTTCTTAATGTTACAATTTCTTAGTTTACTTTTTCTAAAGGGCCAGAGCATAATTCTTGATTCCTGGTGGAAATCTTTTTTGAGGTGTAGGTGTGGGCAAGGTGTGGATTGCTGTTTACAATAGTGCCTTCATTAGGTTTAGTTCTATTTTCATTCATTATTAACTCAAAGGTATAAGAACAGGCCCTAATTTTTTTCCTGTTAGATTTCTTTTTTGTTTTTCACTTCATGTAAATTCATTGTCCCCTCTGTACTTGATGACTACTGAGGAAGTAATGTTACTAGTAGCTGAATTTTAGACTTGATGCTATGTTGATTAATATTCAAATTGAGAAAGCAATTAGGCAAAAGAACCAGTTCTACTTTTCCATTGCTTTCTGAAATTTTAGGCTGTAGAATTGTCTCAGAGGTGGAAAATAAGTCTCTCTATAGCTTTCTCAAGTCCTTTTTGTAGGTCTTTTTTTTTTTCAGCACAGCTCTAATTTTTAAATATTTGGTATAACAGCTTCTGGCATGTGACCTGGTTAATGTTCAAAATTACCTGATGAAAACCCTTACAGTTCTGCTAAACTTCTCTATAAATTACTAGACATACACAGAGCAGTAAAGATATAGAAACCTTAGCTTGTTGGTTATTAATAGAACCCTAATTTTAAATGTGAAATCATGGAGTTTCTTTAAATGTTTTCATGGAGAGTTTGTTATCATGAACATTGGGAATAGCGTGATTCCTTTTCTTCTACCACATGTCTTGAACATTCACATGGGTTAAAGAAGATGGAAACTGATACTACTGACAATCAAGCTGCTTTCTGACTTTCATAATTTTCTTTTTATTGTGGATGACATTTGGGAGGTAATCATGATTCTGTAGGAAGAGTTTTAAATCAATATTTTTTAAACTCTAGAGTCCATAGGTTAATGGGATTTCTACTTTTTATTTTTTGTTATATCTAGTAGCTTGTTAAGAAAATGATTAATGACTTAAATTCTTAATTCTCAGTTGATATGAAGGCTTAAACTTTGCTTACAATCATGTGTTTTAAATTTTTTATTTCATTTCGGTTCCTTGAACATTAAAGAATGAAAACTGAGGATAAAAATTAATGCATTGCAGCTTTGCCAAGGTCCGTGGTATGGTTGTAATCTTTTGAAGACTACTAAGTCATAATTTAAAATTTTACTAAAATAAAAGTATGTCTATTGTTTTCAATTGGAATTATCCTTCTGACTTTCCCTCTACCCCCTCTTTGGTACTCTTGACCAGCTTAGAGGGCCCAAAGAGAGCTTGGGGATAGACTCCAGAATACTCTGCAGAAGGTAGAAAGAGTCAACCTTGTTGTTTTCCCTGCCAAGTATAGGAAGAGCAAATGGAAAGAAGAGCAAATATATCTGAATTCTCTACCTGTTCTTAGCAAAAGCAAAATCCCACAGAATGATTGCCTAACCCTCTTTACTTATTCTTCAAAGAAAATAGGCCCCTTTTAGAGACTATAGAGCAGTATTTATCTGTCAAATACTTGGCAGATTTATTTATTTGACAGTGACCAGTAAAAGAAAATCGTAAATAAAGTTGTGATGTAATTTAAGACAAATTTCTCTACTCTCCCAACAGTCAAATAGTCTTGTTACTTTAGATTTAACTTAAGATATTCTTAAACAAGTTTACCAAAGTGCCACAACGCCAATTTTTAAAGTTTGTAGAAGTGCATCATGAAGTTTTGTGTAAATCTGGATGCACTGTCGTTACAGTGCTATAAATTAGAGATAGCCCGTAAAGTTGGTCTGGAGGAGTTTGAAAGTATTTCCTTTGATTGAAAGAAAAAAATTAAACAGCTTGGGCTTGCTTATGATCTAAGAGGGATATTAAAAGTCTTTATCCCCTCAAAAAGAAGCCAGCAAAAAAGAGACATAAGCAAAAAGCTCTTTTGTCTTTGTTAATGTGCTATACTTTTTTTCTGTTTTAATGCCTCATGTAGATAATTCAAGTTTGAATTATCTCTTTCTTAGAATATAATAATTTATTTAATCAGGGATACTCTGAGTCCAATTTAAAATGAATTCAACTCAGTATTCTTTCTTTTTAAATATAAACCCTAACTAACCAATGAATAAAAAGGCAAGATGTATTTGCTCCTGTGTTGGTTCTCATCTGTAAGGGAACTGACATTGGAGCAAATAAACCTTGTTGATTGAGGGCATGATAAATTCCCCACACATTTATCCAGATACATTTTATTAAAGATCTTGTAGTATGTCAGTCCATACCACTGCTTTTTCAAGGATGAACTTTGAGTTAAACAAAATGGCATGTATTTTTCTATGGTCTTGCAAAAATTAAAGGAAGGCAATGTACTAAATAATACGTAGCGGAGTACGTAGGGCTAGTTCATTCTGTCCCAACAAGAACTTAGAATAAAATAACACTTTTCTTCCATAGGACTTGTCTCATTTTTTGTTAGGCCATGGCAGTTTTTTCCAGTTCCTCCGTCCTTAGGGCAAATTAGATATTGTTGAATTAACCCCAGAAATTGACTTCTAAAATAATGACTTTATAGATTGGGTGGATATCTCATTTTATTTAGCTTTTAAAAATGTTAAATCCCGTCATAAAGCAAAAATTACAAGAAACAGCTGTATAAAGGTATCTAGATTCTGATGAGCTTTAAAAATTTATCAAATGTCTTCATATTTAAGCCAAAAATGTTAGTATACAACCAATATAGAAGTCTTGTTTGTTTCCAGGTTCTCTAGCAGAGACTTTTTGTTCGTGGGTTACTCTGTATAGCCTCATGTGCCTTAAAGGTGGTGAACTCTGTACTTTTTGTCAATATCAGGCTTTTCCAAACTCAAAAACAATCTAAATGTTATAATTTGCTTTATATAATGCCCATGGTGTCAGATATCAGTAAGCAAAGCCATTAACTTGAACCCATCAATGGTAATAGAGTGTAAAACAAAACAAAAACCTTCAGATCTTAAATTTCATTTGCATAACTTTATTTTCGGCCCACCTAGATCATTGAAGAGCCTTGAAAATTATCTAAGGTATGGTTAATGTATTCTCTTTTTTTCCTTAAAAAGATCACAGGCTAGGATATTTTTAAAAATCAGATAACTTTTAGATCTGGAAAGTTAATTTTCAAGGTATAGGCAGAAGCACTTTGACAGAAATTATATAGCAAGTTAATTTTCTTGTTAACTTTAGGGATTCTTTGAATTCATTTGTATAATAGCTGGAACACTCCCCTCCCCTTTCCTTTAACAAATGACCTTTTAGCACATCTATCTTCAAGAAAAATGTTTGTTTGGAATTGGTAGGGGGGTTACTTAAAATCAGTGTATAGTTTGGGGCAATTGATAGGAAAATCCCTAGTTGCATTCTATAATAGTGTTGATGTTAAGTGCACTGACATTCAACATGTCTAAACTAGAAGTAATTTTAATCCTGAAAAGGACTATTAGTTAGAAAATAAGTGTATACACATGTACTGTGGTAACTTTGGATTCGTTTTAAGTCTGCTAAAGTAAG